ATCCAAGTCATGTAAACAGTCCAACTTGAATCAAATAATCTACATTTATCAATCATATCCCAATAATTAAGGAAATCATCATAACTCATCCAGAAAGTACCATCATCACCGAATCTGTGGTTTAGTTTAATCATACGTTCAGGAGTCCATTCTTTACTCCCATCACTCCAAGCACCTTTTTTTTAAATAAATAAATATAATTAGGAAATATTATTATAGGAAATATTATTATGGGAAATATTATTATATAAGATAAAAATTTATATAAACAAACTTTTAATTGAATTGACATACCAGTCCATTCAGTCGTTCCCCAAGGATTTCTTACTTGTAAAAGTTTAATACCATCACACTCATCAGTACGTAAAATGCTATAAGCATGACCGCTAATAGTTCCTTTTAAATCTTTAATATCTGTATCACTAGATTCAAATCTGGCACATCCTAATAATAAGTTATTATTAACATGTTTTAATACATCATTCCAAAATCTTTCTTTATTCAAGATATCGGCAGTGAATTGTAGCGTGTAGACACCACCAGTTATATCTTCTATCCCTATTTAATGAAATCAAGAAATCAGGAAATCAAGAATTGAATATAACGAGTATAAGGGATAATATATAAATATTAATGGTACCTTCACCAGTCCAACCTCCTACAATACTTTCGTAATCACCATGAACTTTTGCATAAGCTTTTTCAATTAATGGTAACCAAGTTTCGTTTTCATTTGCACAATGACTAGTAATTTAAAAAATAATAATCGTGATAAGAATAGTGATTTAAAAAATAAGTGATACATAATCTTCATAATGAACAATAAAAAGTTTAAATTAATAATTACGCAAAAGTTAATTGAAAATTTCCTTTATCATCTTTACCGGATGTAAAGAGTTGATCATCAACTACGGTTGAAACCCAATCACCATCCTATTATTAAAAAGAAGCATAAAGATAAATACGAATATAAATATATTTATTTTATTTTATTTTATTTTCACATTCATTTAATTTACGTTAATTTTTTATATATGTAAATATACAAACCTTAAAGAAAATAAAACCGTAAACACCAACTTCTTCATCTCTAGCCACACAAATGGTTTCTAATAATTTTGGAATATTTGTAATGACGGCCAATGAAGCTATAAACCAACAATCACCAACACCTCCTTGTTTAATATCATTTGGTTCAACACCATCAATAAAGAATTGTGGTTCTTTACAAATTTTATTGATACGTTGTATATTGGTAGCTCCAAATGTCGTTTTTTTCTTATCATAAAGACAATCATCCATGTTTACAAATAAATCGAATTCACGATCTCGAAATTTTCGATTTTGTTCATGACATTCAGATGCGATCTATTATTTCGAAATTATGTAATTATGTAAACTCAAAAAAAAAAAATAATTTAAATTTTTTAATAAATTATTAATCAATTTAAGTATATACCTTAGCAACTTTCTCTTTGGTCAATCGAATGGCTTGATCCAAACCAGCAGTAGCGGCAAAGACAGTGGTTTCATGATTAGCACTAAGCTTTTGTAATTGCTTTTTATTTCTGGCTTTTTTATTCTTTTTAATAGTACCAGATGAATGTTTATTCATTTTTATTAACGTAAATGGTCGTAAATAATTAACAATAAAAATGATCGTAAAAAATCAATTGATATTAACAATAAGTAAATGATCGAAAAAATAAAGAATTTCTTATCTTTATATATAATTAACCTATTTTGTTATTATACATATATATATATTTTTTTTTGTGTTAACGTTAAGAAAATCATGCGTATACAGTAATTGATTGATCCGAATTATAGATATCATTGAACAAATTACAAATTTTAAATTAGTAAACCACGTTTCAAACATGTTTTTATTTATTGTTAAACATTTTTGGAAATTTAATGTCAAGAATGACTTCCCTTTAAAAACTATTATTCTTATTTCGAAAAAAATCAGCTTTATTTGTTACACGTTTTTTTGTCAATTAGAAACTTCTTGAGTTAGTCTTACAAAAACTATTGCGAAAAGAAGACCAAAGAAGACCAAAAAAGAACGCAAGATTTAGACAACATTACAAAGAGCTTACTGTCGCTAAACCTCCGGCACTCTATTTTATAAAAAGGGATAAGGTGTTTGTATATTTATGATTGATTGCATTAAGACACTTTACTATTGTAATAATGATAGTAGCGTAATCGCAACCGTTAAGCCGTTATTTAATACTAACAATCGGAATTAATGTTGCTTTGCATCAATCTAAACTCGAATTAGTACTTTGTCGTATAATCCTTGATGCACCAATATAGTGATGTGCTGCGTATATTTAGGCCACACCAATTTAATTTTATGTTTAACATAACATTTATAGCCAATAAGATGAGGGGGGGGTATTAGAATAATACACACACGTGATAAAATGCTGCAATTTGATTGGCTATTCATCCTGTAAAATAATATAATCAATACGGGTTTGTACAGTATATCGATATT